TTGAGACTGTGATGTAAAAAAAAAAATCCTTTGTCATCTCCTTTATCACTTAAAAATAAAGAAGCGATACACAATCATGTGGATAAACAAGAACATATATATATTTTTGTTAGATGGTTTTTCCTAACACCATCCTTTTTCGTTAAAATGACTACGAGAAAAGAGAATATCGGGAAGCTCACTCTCGGCTGGGCTCGAAGCCTAGTTGGTTCTATTTTTGTCTAAGAAAGTAACAAACTGAGCACTAAGCCAAAATGCATTGAATCACTAGTATGGGGACAAAACTTAGTGAATGGCAAAAATGAATGATCATTTCAAGAAGTATTTGGTTCATGGTCCTTATCTTGATGTTGATGGTTCATTTTAGGTTCATCTTATAAATTTATATTTATATTGTGATTATGATTATGATTGATGGCCATTCTGGGACACTATTGGACAGAGACTTGTATGAATGAGAATTGAAGTTTTGGCATGTGGGTTTTCCTAAGTGAACGTATACAATTTTAGATCAAATAATTTTTTTTTCCAAAAGTATCACTATCTCAATATACCTAAATTATTTTCTTTAATTTCCTACGGTCGAAACTCGAAACAATTGAGTGGTAAATTTCTACCACAACTTTTTTTTTCTGCAATGATTATCCAATATGTAGTAGGGACATCAAAGGGGAATGAAATTTCAAAAGCTAATATACGTTACTAATCACTATGATCTAATAAAAAGGATTAAGATTATATATATTGATAGTTTTAAAGACCGCGACTGCTGAGACAGAACTAGCCGATGCTTATTCCTGAGATACCATCGTTGCTTCTTCTCCGAGAAAAGAAGTTTACAACCCACAGGCCTTCAACCTCCACCCGGCTTTGTATATTTTCAATAATATATAGTTGAACTTTCAATAACACACTCTTAGCCATCTCTACTATTGGACAAAGGCCCAGCCAATTGAGTATCTCATATTGCAATAGTGGCCTGTCAAATTAAGGAGCCCAACCCAAGATCAATGATTCCTTTATTCAAGGAGTGAAACCAACTTTCATCCCTGACCATGAACTAGACAGTGTTGAAACAACACCAGGGGAGTTTGTCTGGTACAAAGGTGAATGGGGTGGGGTTTAAGCCAGCTTACTCACACCTCAACTAATTCAATGGTATCCCCACTAGATATTGGGTAATTTTATCCATCAAGACTTGGACATATGTGAAGAAATCACCTAATATTAGACATCATAGTTGTTCTCAACACACTACACACGTCTAATGGCTTTCCACACTAGGAAGAAATGGATGTAGCCCGACTAATCATGGACAAACTTATTTCTATTAAAGAGTAACTATTCAACAATAGACAAAATGAGTCACTTGAAGGATGGACTGCTCGATTGTATTGTTATGGGTGAATAATATAACTTAACCATCTCTGTCCAGGCTCTGAATACAGCAAATATAGCCACTATAAGTCCATAAAAATCAGCTGAACGATAACAAAAGAAAAGGCACATGGTCATGCTTAAAAAGCAAGCTCTCTACATATTTGTGAGGAGAAAACCAAGCAAACAAATTTGCTACAGCATACAAACATGTCATTTCACTAGTTTTCTTGCTCACCAGGACGCCGATATGGCAAGAATCTGTGGTCTTTCGCAGCATTCTTGCGCCTTTTCTTCTCAATATATGATTCCAGTTTGCCAGCTGCTTTGAGTGACTTGTATTTCTCAATAAGTTTGAGTTTCTGAATTTCAGATTTTTTGAGATAATAAGGTTGTTTTCCTTGTTTAGCAGCCTCCCTCTCTTTCTTCTTGTGCTCTGCCAGAATCTCTCTCTCAGTGTGCTTCACTCCTGCCGATTTCAATTGTTTGTCAATCCAAGAAACACGACTTTTCAGTTCATTTCTCTCTTCTGGGTCATTTGATTTCCTCATCTGTTTCTTCAGATCCTCTTTTTCTGCTGGAAGATTATCCTCATAAAGGAAATTGTATCTCTTTTTGAACCCTTCTTCATCTACCTGGCCATTTAAAGACTCAAAGCGAGGGTCACGAGTGGCCTTTTTAGGAACTTGGATAATTTCCCTAAATCGGCTTACTGGCTTTTTGCTACTCATCTCCATTGGCCTGTTCTTGTTAGCTCGGCTACTTTTTCCTTCCGAATAAAGCTTCCTATACACTGTAGCCGACCCATCAGACCGTGCTCTCTGCAATTCTTCAAAGGTCACATCAGCAAGCTCCTCCTCTATTCCCTTCTCCTCCTCATCTTCAGATGAAGATTCATGTTCATCAGAGTCATCAAATCTTATTTTACTTGAACTTGCAACAGCTGGCCTGTCTTTTCTCATCTCAACAATTTGATTTTGCTAGAGTAAAAGAAGTTGAGAACTTTGCTGTACAAAGATTGGGAGGAGTAAGGAAGAACCCCAACAATAGTAGCATATAACACAACCCAATAGTTAAAACAGAAGAATACGTACTAGCCGGCAATCGGCATACAAAAAAAGCCAATGCCAACTTTGCAAGACTAAAATGCAAGTAAACACTCAATTTAAGTCAAATGTTTTCTTCCTTGACAACAACGGTTCAGGTCAAGTTTGCATGACATCTTGACAGCTCGACTAATTCATCAAGCAGCCTGCTACCTCCAACAAGCACAAATCCCCAGTCTAAGCCTACCACCAGATTTTTATCACTTGTAACTAGTATAGGATGTGCACCTGACATCTCCATGTTTCACTAAGCACGTCCCCTACTTCCACCTTGTGGACTTTCAGTCAATTAATTCAACAGCTAGTACTCATTTAAAAGGGGCAAAGCTCCAATCTTCAAAAGAGATATTGAAAAGGCAAAACACAATATGTCTTCCCGAACATGACATTCTATTTAACTACATACATTAACTCAGAAAGGTCTTTCAAAGTTACAAATACAGGACTCTAGAAAGGTCTAGCACTCATCTTGCCAAGTTCACTAATACAAATAACCGGTTAAAGCAAAAGCCAATAAAGAATAATTCTTTTTCGACAAACTCATCCTTATTCCTACTTTGCACATTGAATTACGATATTCAAACAATTTAACAGAATTACATACATACATGTGCAGAGCAAAACCAAACTGGGTAAGCTTTCACAAGAAAGCAAGGCGCACAAACAGATCCAACAAAAACGAAGTTACATCAATACAATCGCTGATTTAAAAATAATAATAAAAAAAACAGGAGAAATTCTCGCCAATAAACAGACTAAACAAGGCAGAATTCATAAATAAAAATTGACCCAAGTATAAATTTTTACCTTGTTTGAAACACAAAAATACATGAATTTCACAGTGAAGTTACCCAAATTAGCAACAAAACCTAAGTATATAATCGAATATATGAGCAAAAAGGATTAAAGAGTTAGAAATTGTTTGGTACCTTCAAGAGTGAAGAGCTGCAGCGGGGCAATAGGGAACCTTCAGCTCAGCGTGCGTTTTCGAGTTATTAGGTTATTTTCCTGTAACTTGTCTCGGCCCAAATCACTAGAAAATAAAATAAAAAGCTTTATACCAACTAAGTTGCGGTGAAGTGGTAAATATTCCTTCAATTTTAACCAACAGATTTTGGGTTTGAATTTCCCTAGGTATGAAGTCTCTTTGTTAGAGAGAGTGTTTGGAACAGTCCGGTACGAATTCAAATTTAGTCGGATTCTAATATAGATACCGAAAACCCGTTTGGATTAGCTTTTTTTTTTTTTTTGCCAAGATAATTTTAAGTATTTTTTTAGTGTTTGACTTTGAATAAGATGATAAAGAAATTTAACTTGGGTTTAAGTCAAAATAAATTAAAAGATATAGTTTTTTTAATTTAATTTTAAGCTATAAATCCATTCAAACGAGATTTAAATCTCTTCTAGTTTATTGTGTAGAAAACGTCTACGAGAAGACCATCTTATTAATTCAAACGGGCTTTAAATCTCTTATAACACGTTTTCTATGAGAAGACCATCTTATTTGAGCCTATGAAGTTACTTTCTTCGTTTCAAATTAGTTACCATGTTTTGCTTTCAATAGTTATTTTGATTAATCTTTGAGGTTAAGTTGAATTAATTTAATTTAATTTTTTATAATTAAAATGTATTTTTTTTTTTAAAACCATACGAGAATTACTACATCTCAGAAGCTTTTCTCATATTGTCAATTCAATTAAAAAAATCTCAAGATTAAAGTTGACACAATTTGATTCTTAAAAAGAGGGAAGAGGACAACTAATTCAAGACACAAGGAGTATCTAATAATCAAATTCAAGTACGTCTTTTTACAAATAAACAGACGAGTATAATTAGTAGGTTGTGTAATTATTAGATTAGTAATTACTATCCTATTAATTACACCGATCTCATATAGTAGGTGACTCTTCAAACCAACTTAAGGTCCCGTCATTTTGTTTGGACTTGCGCTTTGAACTTTGTATGTTGTATGTTTTCTTATAAAGATAAAAATTTATAAATTGTAAAACTATTAAAATTGTTTTAATTATGCCTGTGAATCGAGAACTCACGCGGGGAACCCCACTCGCTTAACAAGCGAGCGCCTTAACCACTCGGCCAAAGCGACTCTATGCACTTTTGATCACAATTAATATTATAAAACCATATAACACTACAAGAAAACATATTTTTAGTGACGACCGAAAAAAATCGCCTCAATTACCTGATTTTTGGCGCAGACCTGTTAATTCCAACCAAGTTTTCTCAAATTTTATGTGTCAAGTAACACAAACAATTTTTTTTGCTATTATAAATTTGAGATAATTCCTCTTTTCTCTATCTCGAACTACTTGTGGAGGGTTAAATGTTTTTTATTTAGGTGGTAATCCATTGGTAATTAAGCATTAGTGAAATGTCTAATGTTATAACAAATGAGAGCAGAAGGGAATGATTCCTGCAGTTTGTAAAGTTCTCTCTTCATACATATAATTACAACATAATCCAAATATTAAAATAAACTGATATTTTAAAAAAAAAAAAAAAAATCATGGTCAAACGCCTATTGTATCTTCTGCTATTCAGTGCCTCCATCCCTTTGAATGGCCATCCTCCATATAGGGCTCAAGGAAACCAATAAACTGAAAATCCAATGGAAATTTCTTAGTCTCCACCAGCTAGTTTTTGAAATAAACCAACCTTACTTTTCATTGACAAGTGATTAGAAATCTTGTAACAACTTCATGAATGGTGGAACAGGAACCTCAGCACTAATCATAGTATATGTACCTTACTTCCATCTTTAGACCACCGTGCACCGTAACCATTAACAACTCTTATCTCAAAAACAACACCATGTGGTGGAACAATATGCACATTCATCCAGCAGGAACGCGTTATTAAGTTCCTGATGACATCCAGGGCATTCCTATTTTTATCAGAATCTGGAAAGTGAAAAACACGAGACAGTAGCACATGAATCGTTGGTATCATGCAGCAGGTGATAACAGGAATTGCTTTCCAGAAGTAAAAATGTACTCGTAAAAGAAGAAAAACAACAGGCACGACTTGAGCATTAGAACCTCACATGCAAATCAAGGATGTTTATGTTGAAGGGCTCTGGAGTGAGGGACTAACCACTTCCAGAAAAACCACCCCAGTATCTGTCACTGCTCCCTGTTAACGTGCTTTGACAATGCCCTCGCTCCATCAGTCAATGTACAACCTTTAGTCTGTTGCAGAAACTAGATACCTTAGGATTACTCTCATATGTAAAATAACCTGCGCAGAGATTTTACTCATTTTCTTTTCCTACTTTCTTGCTCTCCTACTTTAAATAGTTCAATATGTCATCCACCATCCACCTTACCCCTCTCGTTAAGACAAAATATTAGTAACAGAATGGTGAAGAAATGATATTGCTTTACATAGGATGGACATTAGTAAAGAGCCTGAAACTGCTTCTGTATAACAGTCCAACTCCTGTCACCCTGTTTCTATCAAGTGGACATTTGAAGTTCTATCTAACTTCTTGGTGTCTTACTGACGTACAAAAAGGCAAGCGGAAGAGCTTGCTTCTATTAGCCAAGAAATGTGGCAAAGAGGTTGATGGAGCTTCAGAAGCAATGGGATACAGTTCTCTCTTCTTTCTCAGCTTACGGTCATTTCAATTTACTTCTATTAAAAAAATGTCATCTCAATAATCCTTTAACTTTCAACAATCATAATAACTATAAAAACAGCTTATTCACAAGGAAGCAGAAGTTTGCCCTAGAGTATTTCACAAGGAGAAAACCAACATAGTCATATCATACATTTGGATTATGTGGCAATAGAAATGATGAGATTAGAGAAGATGTTGGCGGTGGAAGTGCCTCAGAAACTGTTCCAGCTGTACATACGAATCCTAAAAGCCTCTGAACACCAGCATAGCTCAGTTCCTGAAAGAAATTAGACTCTTAATTAGGACTTAACAAACATCTTTCTTTTTCTATACGCGCACCTGAAACAATATATGAAACTTTGTAGTCTTGACACAGACGTGAAAATTTGGATTTGATCTCAAAGCAGCTATGCTAAGGGCAAACTAATGCACGACTAAAGCACATACACTTGTAGGAGGACAAGTGTGTTAACGAAAATAGAAGTTAAAATTTGTGCTTGATCCTGAAGCAGCTATACCTAGGGCATCTCATGCAATATCAAAGCACATACAGTTGTAGGGACATGCGAGTCAAAAAGAAGCAAGTTTTTGACAAAAATATCTCAAAGAATCATTTCTAACTTACAGGAGAACACAACTTCAATGATAGCATTATGTCATTTTAACATGATCTAAATATTATACGTCCAATGTCAAGATAAGTAGAGCTAAAAGCATACTCACAGATAGCATGGAGCTCAGATCAATGGAAGGCTGAGAAATCAGCTTCTTAACACTGATAGCAAGAACACCATTTGACCTTTCTTTCTCTTCTGAGTAAAATTTCCGGTAAACTTGGACACCTGAAATTTTCATGTTTATACAACTTAGCTTGCATATAAGGAACATCTATCATAAAAAATTACGAATTGGTTATCCATTTTACTAATTACAAGTATTGAAAAGTTAGTTTCTAGCAGAAAGCAACAAAGTCCAGAATACAATTAGCCTCACCTTCAGTTCCTCCATATTTACAAATAAAAATGGATCTACCAAGTAGTACCAACTAACAGAAAACAAGAGAAATCAGGGCATTCACCTCACATATCAGTTATCACTTGAACATATTGCTTTACACTTGCAAGATTTTAGAGCAAATAAGGTCTCAAATGGTCCAATTATATTACAGTTTCTCTGATAGCCTTCAAGAAACCAACTATAACTTGGCTTTAAAATTCTGATCGCAAATAGCTCAATAAGAAACCAAACTAGGAATGACCATAGCTATTTAACAATAATTCTTTTTTTGAACTCTCAAATTATGTGTTCTTCACATCATTAAAATGATGAGCATCAGATGTGAGGTGAAAAGAATAACAGAGATTGAGAACGGAAGCCGGGATTTTCAAGATAGGATGAGCAACCATAAGATATTTGTTAACATATCCATAAGATAAATGATGATCTAATAGAAGATACTACTCTTAGATTCAAGCATAAGATATTTGTACGCCTATCCATAAGTTAATCGTCTTCCAAACATATTAAAAAGTCCGTACAAACATGGAAGGTATGGAGTGAGAAGTAACATCCTCTCTATCATACAGTAAGAAATTTCCACCTTCTTCAGTGGTATCCACTCCAGGAAGAACTTCTTTAAGACTCTCTGCTTCTAACATCTCACGAAATGAATAATAATGACGGACATCCTGCAAATAGACATTTTATTCAGTTAACTATAAGATGTACCAAAGTCATAAAAAGAAAATAAATGTACATGATGAATGCACCTGAACTTGAAGAATTAAACATTTGTTGATGAGGATGAAAGCACCTGATTCAATTCTAACATCCAAAAAAGACCTCATCTGAGAGAGGAAAAGAGAAGAAAATATTCTTGTAGATGATCAATGTATGAAAGATGCTTCCTGTCATTTTTAAGCAAGTCCTTTTAGAATGAAAGGATATTTCTTGTAGTTGAATCGTGAGGGTTCTGGTTTCAACACATTTGAAGATAAACCAGGACTAACTTTTCAGCACTGTACTATAAGTTATCATGAAATGCAATCTCAAAAAGTTATGAGAGAAAAAAAGTGAGATACAAGCAAACACGTTAAACAAAAACTACTAATAAAGAAGGTTCCCATGATCTAAAACATTAGAGATGGGAATTCTTCTTGTGATGGAAACATTGATAAGGGTCGATATAAACAACCATACATGACTCCTTGGGCATCCTCTTCAGAGCATCCAAATTATCATATGACACAGAAAATCAAGTTTTAACCAAATACAGTTTTAGTAGCCAAAAGGTATTCTAAGGATAGTATTTTGGCACTTGACTTGATTGAGTGGATTTATTAAGGCACACAAACTTAACTGATTAGAGACGTTGAGAATTAGCATTAAGCACAACACGTTTAATGAGGAGACGGCAGAAGCAGTCAATATAGTAAGCAAAATGCATACAAGTCATAATGAAGTCATACTTATTGTAGTGTCCAACAGCACACCTTCCTTCAACTGTTTTCTGTCCATCTGCAAATAATTTCGAACACTTAACAAAGAATTCAACTATGACAGCAAAGGTGAAAATGCATTAAAATCTAAAGGAAATATAAATCTATGACAAGGTGGAAACTAATTTTGGTAGGGGAAAGCAATATATCCAGATATTTATACTTCTAAGCAGGGAGAAGTAAGGCTCCTGAACATGGAGTTCAAAGTCCACAGATTTTAGCACCTGTAGTTAGCAACATCCAATATATATTAACTTTGGGATGATGTATGTGAAACTGAAACAAAAGGAAGAAACACTATAACATGTTTAACTTACATTGAGCAAATGAGAACCTTTTTCCCTAATCAAACTGGCCCACTCTTCTTCCTTTTGCTTCAAAGAACTAGTTTCTTGCATTACAGCAAGTTTGTTTTCTGTCCTTGGTAAGGCTTCAGAAGAAATAGCTTCATATAAGGATGCTGCAAGGCGCTTGTATAAAGGATATAACGGAACTCCTTCAGAAAGACCTGTCAAATACAGGCAGCACAAGATGAAGAAAATTATCAAACTTGATAGAGGGTCAAGTATCCAAAATCTGGAATAAGTAGTACAAATAAGAATCTTTTATCTTTTACAAAGAAAAGTTAGACAATTCTCATTGCATTAGTCAGCACCTACTCTCCAAATCCCTGTTCCAGAGAAGGGAGTAACATCCCTTCTTTCTATATAAAAGCAAGAGATCCGTATAGACAATACCAACTATTTGGGATAAAACTAGTTATTTGTGTTTGAACAATATACTTGGAGGACTCTTTTATGTTTGGTGTCAAGTTTTCATGACTAAGCTAAACCAACTCCTAGAGTCATGGCAAAATTAAGCCCAAAAAACTAGAAAATGTAAGTGTAAATTAAACATTTGCGTTATACTTCCATTTATGTCGTATATCTTTTAATGGCAAGGTTTAATCACAGTGAACTATTCAAATGTCAAGGATCAAGCACTTCCTTGAGCCAAGTACCTATCAAAAACATCCACTTTACATCTAGGTAGGCAGCGGCAGAAAATTACATTGTTTATACATGATTAAAATTATGTTTTATGTATGGATATATATAGCATATGTTGAACCCTTTGACTTCTTTATATATTTACTTCTTCATATTTTGAACCCTTTAGTGAAACTCTTTGCTCTGCCGTTGGAGGTAGGGTAAGGTGTCTGTACACTCTATTCTTCCCAGACCTCACTTTGTGGGACTAAATCGGGTATTATGTTGCTACGGATCAAACGCTTGTTTTAATAAAAATACGAAAAGTTGCATAGCAAATGGGTTACTTCTAGTTCAGTTGCCCCAAATAGTTGGTACAACAAAAAGTGGGTGAGAAGTGAGAATTACCAGTGGGATCGAGAAAGGGGTCGGAGGGATCTTCTTGTAAGAGGTTGGAGCAATAGTCCTTAGAGAGACCTAAGTCAATTTCAAGAGTGCCGTCAATGGAGGAAGCAAGTATGAATCTCAGCAGCTCTTCTATGCAGTCCTTCAGTTGCAGTGACGCTCCAAATCCCGGAGATGCTGGCTGAGATTCCATTTTTATCGACTGGATCTTTATTGACTCAATTCCCCCTGTGTTCATATGTTCTTCAAATACAGAAAATCGATGGTTTGGGAGGCCTGTGACTTTTTTTTTTATAAAAAAAACTACTACTATTATTATTATTGCATAGGGGCTACGGGAAGGGGAAATAGGAAATGGGTGAGACGATAACATGGGTAATCGAACCATCACTTATAAGGTGAGAATTCACGTTACAAACCAACTGGGCTAATAAGATTTCGAGATTGTGATGGTAAGGATATGATAATAGTAAGAAAATTCTCTTATAAGTTATACCCCAAGAGAGGAGGTGACTAGTCCTCATTGGCGTCCAGAAGTTCCACATTAGGCTAAAAGACGCTTCCTAATAAAGACGATTTTGTACCAGCAAGTCTGCTCAATAATAAGGTGATTAGTCTTGCTTTTGGTATTGTACGCTGACTTTAGCCTTTCCTCGAAGAGGTAGAATACCAGCATATACTATGAAAATATTTAAATACAACTGACAACACTTGAACATGTAGTTTCTGAAAAATAATGATATATAGATGCATTTCTTCTTTGTTTGAATTTCATACATGCCATTAAGGGTCCGTCCCAATAAACTGGCTTTGTTTTAAGTTTGTTAACAATAAAGAATCTCCTATATTGCTATGTTAGAGATCCCTTTGATCTCATCCTATATATACCCTTCTAATCCCTACAATCTGTTAAATCTGTATAATTCTCTAAGCTAACACCTAATCAGATGTCATTTAGGTTATTGAACTAGGATTAGTATCAACCTCGGCTTCTTTAACTTTGCCTAATTCTATCATATCTACTGTTGCAGAAGAATGAGGCTTGATAGAACAATCGAAGTTGTGATGATGATTTTGTTCATGGTGTGCTTCAAATGTCCACACGAGGACTAACGCGACCATTACTGTTGACAGGAAAACGAGTCCTCCCCATGTCATATGCGCGTTTTTCTTTAATGGTTTGCAGTGGTAGTCAAGGATATCAGAGAACGAATCATACACTGTGTCGCATTCTGCTAGGCTTTCCATTCCAGGGTACACATCCAGTATCCTTTTGAGAGCAGTTGTATATGCCTCGATGTTATTGAAGTCCCTAAGCGGAATCAAGACTCCTCCTATGCAGTTTTCATTCGTGCAAGTCAACATCTTGATTATCTTCATACAAGAAGAGAAAATTCCGTCAAATCAAATGTAAAGGAAAGACTAAAAACAGTAACTATGTGTGAAGAAAATTGTGAATTATAGCCTTTGAGCTATATACCCGAGGGAGGTCTCCTATCCTGATTGCGCTAGATGGACAGTTCTCATCAGGCTCATAGTTATAGTCAGGTGGACCGGAGAATGGATTACAGATTTGTGCAACATTTCCATAATTTGTAGATAGTTCGCGATTTACCTGCAAATTTCCATGTTATCAAGACTAGTAAACAAAACTTTATTGCTCAAAATACCAGAAGTATTACTTATTTTTCAGTGATACTAAAATAAACTAAATTTTACCCTGTTCACTACTCGATGAATCCCTTCACTGACTTCATATAGGATTGATTCTGCAGTGAGTAATTCATTACAGGGGAGGATTGAACTCAAGCTATTGTTGTAGGGATTTATCTCGAAACTTTCTAGAGCTGTGCATGCGTCTCCAGCAAAGCTGTAATAACAGATGGAATATGATCATCAGTATGCCAAGGCCGTACAATTTTTGAGATGAAACACAAATCTTGAGAAGTTATTGGAAATTGTTTTCGTACTTGTCTAGAAAGAAATAAATCCCGAAAAATAACCAGCACAGGATTGTAAAGATCCAACACACTGCAATCAGCCTGCATGGATCAGAAAAATGTTTCAAAAATTAGAAACTATCGGAGTATTGCCAAGAACTTGGAAAGTGTATATCAGATATACTATATCTAAACAGGAGGCTAAAATTTGCACCATTGACGTGATATACTTACAGGCGAAAAGTTCTTCTGAATTTGAGGATTCCAAATACTGCAATGAAAAAGATTGCAGCTTTAGTCAGAATTAGATATTTAACGACAGCTCTACTCAAAAATACCAGGTGTGGATAAGTTTTTACCCAAAAATAACTATAGTCTCCTTTTCTAATTCCCTCTTTGCGAACTAAACAAGAGAAATGGCAAAATTTTGAATATTATACTAGTGAATTCTAGCTCCCAGACAAGGAGTATTTTACACTTCCATTTTAGTTCTGGTTTCAAGATTCTTTTGAAATAATATCGAATAACAGGAAAAGTCGAGTTGGATTTAGTAGTCACCTGTTAGGGCAATTACAGCAACCAAGTTGAGTGAAATGATCAATGTAGTTACTATATACCTGCCAACAAAAAGTAGTATGCATGTCAGTTTTTTCTTTCTAGCAACAGAAAATGAGCATAAACTTGTTGGCTCACTTATTTAATTGCCATGAAATTGTATGGACTCGAAAGCACACACTAACTCTAGATCCTGGATTTGCCTCTACTAGAAGATGAAGACTTACAATATGTCAAGGCCTTTCATGATTAAACGCCTGTTTTCGGTGGCTTCCCTATGTATATCAGCAGCCTGTCTGTCAAGACTTCTAGAGGTGGGAATGAGGAAACGAGCAGCCTCATGACGTATATCAGTATGTTCTAAGTCAGTGTACATCGCTCTCAGGGATCCAGTAGTAGTGTATATAGTCTCCGATGCCTCCTCTGCTGTATCAACGATAATGTCCACAACTGTATTTGTTCTTGAACGAAGTTTTGCATTCCCTCCTAGTGCCAGGCCTGTAGCTGTTCTGCAATGATAGTGAAAGTATCTCAATTTTATAAACCTTCCACAATAAATGAAACCACTTTATTCAAGGATGCAGTACATATATTTTTTTTGTTTCCCATCCGATGTTTGGTACCTGTTTTGGGCCCAACAAGTAGTTTGTTTGGTCAAACTTGCAAAATCTGCTTATTTTGCTTTTCGAAAAGAAGTATTCTTGGAGAGTAGCACTTTGTGTTTGACTAATTTATTTGAAAATTATTTTTGTCAATATTAGAGTAGCAATTCGTGCTTGATCAAGGTTCTAAAAGTACTTACCGACTTCTCAAAAACAGTTTCTGCTACGACTCAAAAAAGCCCTCCTTACCAAAGGTGACTCCACTCTCAGAGCTCAAACCCGATATCTTTGGTAATATTAGAGGAATGAAGTAACTTACATAGCTAAAATTGTCAAGAAAATAGCTGAGAAGGTCTGCCAGAGATAGCATTGTTTATAACAAGTTGATTTCTTCTTGAACTCTTTGTTTTTCCTTTTAGAGCAGCAGGTAGAGGCTAGAAGAAATACTCCATATCCTAAGCCACACAACAGCCATATCACTGCAATGACATAGCCATATATACCTGTAAAAATTGTGGACTGCACAAAAAAAAAAAAGTTGAAATTTCGTGTTAGATATTATTTTTAGTCCTATTAACTTGTAAGAGGTCACACAAAGCATATTTACAGGCAAGTCATCTTAACATCGTACGATTTGTAATATACTGACGATGTATATAACTTGAATACATTAGGATAATAGATGAAAACTCACACCCCAATAGTGTTTATTTGTAATGTCAAATCCTCCTTTGTATTTCTTGAAATTGTCCAAAGGATTTATTCTCACTGTATCATCTGATTGCTTGGTTTCTGAAGCATAATCTAATTCAACTAATCTTCTTTCTGCATAATCAACAAGTCAATTTATCAATTAAGAGCATTAATTAATATTAAAACAATATTTCTTAGCAATAAGCTTAATGAGATAGTTAGCTTTAATTAGGTAAGGATATGTAATAAATGTACTGCATTATTACTACAATGCTGGAGTTCATACAACCTTAAATTGACAAAACTGTACAAGACAATTTTCCAAAAACAAAAACTCAAAAGTGACTAGTAAACGTTATTTCTATCCATACAGGCCAATGCCCAAAACGAAAAAAAAAATAAAAAATTGTTACCTGGTGGCCTGACTGATAATCCTTCAAGATTAGTGAAGTTAAAGGCAAAGAGGGGGGCAGATAATAGCAAGGATATAGCCACTTTCCTCCTATGCATAAACTCCATCTTCTAACCTGTAAAGTAACTATAAGATTAAAGAACATCTTAATAAGTACTGTACTTTCTTAAACTTCGTTTAAAGACAAACTAAAACAATGGAGTAAAAATAAATGAGATTACACTTTTGGACAGTCAAGATAAGCTAGTTTTATCTATTTGTATAAAAAATCTGTTAGCTAGAATTACTAATGACGACGACAACAACAATAACGTAACAACAAAGGTGAAGCCAGAATTTTTAATTTATGAGTTCCTAACCATGATTCTTTTTGTATTGTTACTGAATTATCAAAGTTATAAAGTTTTGTCGAATGCCCATAAAAAGTACATTAATCTACCTTGTCAATCGTATAGAGGTGAATGTGCACGAAAAATTAAAGCTTTTGTAAACGAAGACAAAAAGGTAGATTACTATGTGAACACTTTCAATCTGAGAATATATAATATAACATCCAATTCAAGAATATCGTTTATTAAAGATAATATAATCCTAATCCTTATACATTATAAACACTGAAATTAATAAATTAATTTATTCTATTAAATATCCTTCTCCTATATTAACTCTTTTTTGTAGTGTTATGTTTTTAAATTCAACTACTTTTTAAAAGCTTAACCGACCAAGACAAAGTTTTTTTTTTCTTCTTTTTCATGAAAGAATATCCTCGAATTAAAAGTTTGTTTCCTAATCAAATTGCTTTTTACGTAATTAGTACTACAAAACATCACGGAAGAAGAATCTTCACTATTTTTATATATAAAAAGAAATTTCATTTTTTTATAATACAGAATGAAAAATCAAGAAATTACGTACGAAAAGGTAAATCTAAAATTTGAACTTTAATTATGTATTCTAATTGTACAATGACTCCCACAAAATACTAACAATTGGGTTGTAATTAAAATGTGACACATTTGATGATTCGTAATACTAT